AATAAGCTTGTTTGGTAGCAAACGATTTTTCTTAAGTCCGAGCTTATCTCATAAGCCTTTTTGGGTAGCTTTTCAAATAAGCCCGTTGAAATATTTATTTCAGCTGGTTTATCGATTAATTTTACCGAACACTTTTATCATATAAACTACATTTTCATCCATAGGCCATAAGCTCTCAGCTTTCACTTATCAGCTATTAGCTAGCTTATAAGTTATCGACTAGCTTATCAGTTAGTTACCAAAATATATAGAGTATAGACTATGATCGATAAAACTAGTTGATAAGTCAGGTTATTGTCAAAATTAACTTATCTATAGATATATTTTTTCTAAAGCATGATATGTACTAATAAAGGTTTTAATTAAAAAGTATCCATTTTATTGTCAAATCTATTGAGCACAAAATAAAAATGTGAAGGATTGACATATTATTTTATTGTAATTGTTCATACATAGATTAAAAAGGTTTAAGAATGTTTGAAAACGTGACTACATGATGAAATATTTGATTTCAAAATAATATTATACTATAATCATATAATTTATTTGCTACGTTTTTGGTCTGTAATTATCCTATAATTCCAATTTTTTTCTAATTGACCATAATCAAATAAAATGAAACTTACTATCAATCCAAAGTCGAGAAACGAATTCAACGAACAAGCAAATTCACGTTCGTCTCGGGGTGCCACTCTCCCAAAGTTGAATCCAAGCCAAAAACTAAGGAAAAATGTTTGATGAGAGAAAATTTGAAAAACCAGGACTGGGACTCTTTTCCGCCGTCCTCGCACGCATTCCAATAATAGGAAATTTGAAAATCGGTCCAAAATAATGCGTCCAAATTTAGAAATTAAGTTTTAGTGTCTCGCTGAGCAAAGCCCGTTGCGCCGCGTCGGGTCTGCACATGTTTGGACGCGAGGGCCGTGCGGTACTGGGCGCGGCGCGAGGCTTGGGGACGCTTGGGAGCTCTGTCGTCGTGAAGCCTGTGCGAGATTGGGCGCGTCGCATGCCTCGTGCGCTGTCACGGCGCGAGGCCTGCAGCGGGATTGGACTCTCTATTGGGTCGTGACATAGGTCGCGCGCGACGCTAGTGCGGTATCGCGGAGGGAGGCTTAGGGATGCCTAGGAGCTCTGTGCAGGCGTGTACGGGAGTGCACGGGTCTGCTCGGGTGTGCATGGGTTTGTTCGAGTGTGCATGGGTCTGCTGGGCGCTAGCTGCGCACCTATGTTCCACGGACTCATACACGCTTATCCGAATTCGAAATTAAGTTTCATTTTTTCTTACTAGTCGTCAACAAACTTTTTTAGATAATTGTACTTGCACCACTAAAGTGACCACTATCTCCTCAGATTGGATGAATATCTAAACACGTGGTTGAAGTTCCGAGCCTGCACACCTCTAATGACAAGAAAAACAAAAGAACACGGGAAAAACAATAGAAAAAGAAGAAAAATCACAAAAAAATTAATAAAATAAACGAGAAACGACCTAGGGGACCAAAAAAATCTAAGAAAAGACAAAACGAGAGAAAAATAAAAGCAAAATAATAACGAAAATAGCAAAAAAAAAGGGACAATATGAAAATAATTCATAAGTCTTTATATAAATTTAAATTATTTATCAAACCAAATTGAAAAATATGATATGAATACTTAAATTAAATTATAAAATAACAAGAAATTAATATGTTAATATACCATGAAACAATTAATTTACTATACATTTTTTACAAATCTGGAAAAAAAATGTGAAAATTAGGACTACAAAAAATAAACATTAACAAATATTCAAAAATTATGCCTTGACTTAAGTGAAATATATAGAGAGTTCGAATATGGTGATGTTAAAATTAAGAAATAAGAATAAATATGATAGTTGGAAACAATATAAGTATTTTTTGAAGTTAGAAAGTATAATTACAATATAATAATGCTTTGGAAAAAATTAAAACATTTGAAATTAAATTTATCATATTGTAAATAATATTTATTTTAGGCATATATAATTTATAAATATAATTAAAATATTATTACTGTTAACAAATTATGTGTAAACCGTGGATATCTATTACTATAAAATACAGAGAAGAAAAAATGTTTGAAAAAATATTTCAATTTCTCGCTTAAAAGCTGTTTCCCCCCCTAAAGTTTAATTTGAAATTTTTTCATGCAGGTATTTAAATTGTTTTTATTCCGTGCATGCACATTTTCAATTTTTTTTAGGATTTTGATTTCATTTGTATAGATATATATATATATAAAAGATTTTGTTTGACTAAACTCACCTATCTACAAATCACATTTTCATATGTCTACCGATCTGTTTTTTATTTCCTGTTTTTTAGGTAATCAAGCCGAGTTTAAATTATGGTATCATCCATCAAATGAGTAACTGTTTAAGATAATTAGCCGTAAAAAAAGGAAATGAGTTTGTAATTTATTTGGTTAAATTCAGTTTGTGAGTTAATTCTTCTCTTATGAACACGTTTCTGCGGACGGATGTTGCGGTATTGCAGGAGAAGATGATTTAGTATATACAAATCCATTATCATGAAAACCTTATTTTTTTATTAATCTTTTTACACGTGACAATTATTTTGTTAAACTTTTTACACTAATCATGGTAACAATTTTTTAAATGGGAATGCTATAATAAAAAATAAAAATACAAAATTTAATCTTTATTGAAAAATTAATTATAAGTTTTTATATACATATATATAAATTGCATATTTCAATAGAAAAATATTATTTTTTTAACATATAGTTATGCAATATATACAACTTAAATAATAATTACAAAAATAAATACATTGTAAAGAGTTCATTTCAAAGTTATACAGATAAAGTAATCAAATTGGTCGAGACTAATGATAAAGGTATATATTCCATATTATGTTTTCATCGATTTATTATCTTTAAAAATACAATTATGCTGGATATATTATCCATATAAATATAATAAATCTACCCTAAAAACGATGAAGAGGACTTCGCGATAACTAAACTTAATTATTTGGAATGTACATATTTTTATATAGATATAAATAAAAAGCCAACGGTTCACCATTATACAAATCATATAGAGATCTTTTTACTTATGTTTATTGTTTTTCACTCCACACGTATAAACTTATTTTAATCTAAATCTCTTTTTATTAAAAAGAGGTAAAATAACATTTGGTTTCCCGCCTAAACTATTTGAGTAATATTTTTTGTCAAATTTTGAAAAAATCCCGCCTAATTAATGTACAGAATCATTTTGGTCAGATATTGCGGCTATTGTCTTTATTAGTTGCATGATTTAAATTTAGAATATAATATATTGACAAAACTTACAGCTATTACCTTTATTAGTTACATGGTTTAAATTTAGTATATAATATATTACAAAAAAATAAAAAGATTTTTATTTAAATTTAAAAATAAAAAATAATTATTCATAACTTACGGGTCAATATTTACTTGGACGTAAACGAAATAGTCAATTATATAACTTACGGGTCAATATTAACTTGGACGTAAACAAAATAGTCAATTATTTATAATTTAATAAATTGCTCAACTACTTAATTTTTTTTTTATTTTAATAGTTTATACAATAATAAATTATTTGAAGTAATGAAACAATATAAATTTTATATTTATACTTATTATTCACATAGACTGTTAAATATATGATAACATTTTACCAAAATAACTATTTTATGGAATCTCATATAGTCAAATCGATTTTCTAAATCAAAATTTTGGAATGGTACTTATTTTGAAACGAATATAATGTAATTTATTATCAGTTATGTGCACCACACGGGTTGTATACTAATTTTAAGTAGACATTTTTATGTAATTTTGCCCAATTTAGACTTTATATAACACTTTCAATAAATTAATATAAGTAAATTGTATTACATATTGATTCCATATTTTAAATTTATAAATATTATTTAATAAGATTTTTTTTTTTTGGTAAAATTTAATAAGAATTTTTAACTATAAATATTAATAAATATCTCTTACCCGTGCATTGCACGGGACTTATACTAGTTATAATAAATGGGGTTCGTAAAGAAATCTATAAAAAAGTCTTTGGTAGAAAGAAATAAATGATTATAAATTTATACATTTGTTGAATATACTGCTTATTTAATATTTAGAAATCATATATATTTTTATCTTTTTCCTAATAGTTCTAAACTAATAATTTTATATGGTAAATAAAACCTACGAAATTCTTATATATATAACATTAAAATAATGACATAAAACAATAAATATAATGAAAATGAAAATATGACATAAAAATTGATACACAAATTGCCTCCGATCCCGGGTTAAACTGGAACCACCAATATCGGTAATTCACCATGAGCTATGATGATCTGCAGATGTATATGAAAATTGTATGCTAAAGGCGTTAAAAACAAAACATGGTAACCTCATATATACGTGGGTTATCTTCTTGCCCAAGTAGAGTCTTTGCTTGGAAAGAAAATCCAAACATATATTTTTTCATAGCTTAACACATCTCTGAAATCTTAGACGCATTAACAAGATACACTTACCATCATTAAAGGGATTATGTTCTCTCTTATTGCACGACTCTCAGGTCCCTAGATCATCTCAACGACCTCATGATCTATGCACCGTAGGCTCGTACTAGGTCGAACCCCGACCTTTACCTATACAACCTACCTACATGTCGTAATACCTCTTCATCTGTCCGAGCTTCCGAAGGAGTTCGGTCTGTTAATCCTTTAACTAGGTCGACTCGTAGCTTGAGCTGCCGAAATGAGCTCCCTAACGAGGTCAAACACTGATACCAGCCGAAGTTCCATGGAACGAGACATACAAGAGCTAAACACTCAGGTCAGTTCACCGAGCTATTTTGAGTATTATATAAAAAATGACATTAAAACAAAACGAATAAGTGGTATATTTTTTTATTACTATTATTATTATTATTATATTTGGACAATTTCTTTTATAGTTTACAATTTTTACTGACAATTAAATCCTTCATAAATAGATGCAGGTAGAGCATACTCATGAATAGTCATTGCCAATATCCCCATAAGTCCAAATATCGGTGAAAAGGCGAAGAGACCCTGAGCAGCCACGTGGACTTAAACAAAGAAAAAAATGCAACACATCAATAGATAAAAACCGAACCTATTATTCTGTCCTTTCGAGCCTCAGTCCTCACCACTCCACGTAGGCTCGGACAACCGTTTGCACCCCGAGCCTCTCCAGGCTCTCCTTATTAAACAAATAAAAAACCCCAATTAAAATAATCCAAAAACAACCCTATACCCCGTTAACAACAAACAATAAATGAATAAAAATCCCAAATAAAATACTCCATTTCCCTATCTTCTTCCTGCTTCACACACAAAAACACACAGTACAGTACAGAGCAAAAAACCAGCAAGAACCCACCTGGGGTGCTTACACCGCCACTTTCTCATTAAAACCAAGAAAACAACAATCTCAAAAACCCCTCATATCTCTCTCGCCATTAAATTCTTCCCACATAAAAAAAGAAAAGAGAACAAAAAAAAAACCACAGGCGCCCATTTGATTTTTCTGCCATATAAGATAGCTTTGATACAGAGGTGGAGCTTCTTTTTGAGCAGTTGAAAGCAAATGGGGTCTCCTCGTTGGCTCACATTTTTGGCCCATTTGATTTTTCTGCAACAGTTCCGTTTCTCGGCGCGTGCGCTGCTGAACCCCGTCGATTTTCTGGCGCTGCAATCAATTAGACGGGGCCTAAGCGATTTACCCGGGTCGGGTTATTTCTCCACCTGGGATTTCACAGCGGAGCCCTGCGACTTCTCCGGCGTCTACTGCGACGGCGACAGGGTGATCGCCCTCAACCTCGGCGACCCGCGGGCGGGCTCCCCGGGGCTGACGGGCCGGATCGACCCGGCCGTCGGCAGGCTCTCTGCTCTGGCGGAGCTAACTATCGTCCCCGGCCGGGTCACGGGTCCCCTGCCCGAAACCATTTCCCAGCTCAAGCTCTTGAGGTTTCTCGCCGTCAGTCGAAACTTCATCTCCGGCGAGATCCCGTCCGGTTTGGGCGAGCTCCGGGGGCTTCAAACCCTCGACCTGAGCTTCAACCAGTTCACCGGCGCCATCCCGATTTCCGTCGGAAGTTTGCCGGCGCTATCCAACGTCGTTCTCAGCCACAACCACCTCACCGGCCGGGTCCCGCCGTTTGCTTCGCAAACCCTGACCCGGCTCGAGCTGAAGCACAACAATCTCTCCGGTTCGCTTCCGGTTCCCGGGCTCCCTCCGTCGGTTCAGTATCTTTCTTTGTCATGGAACCTCCTGACCGGCCCATTGGGCCAGGCCTTGTCCGGTCTGACCCAGCTGAACTACATAGATCTGAGTATGAACCGGTTCACCGGCCCAATCCCGATATATCTCTTTACTTTCCCCATCAACAACCTCCAGCTGCAGAGAAACCAGTTTTCCGGCCCGGTTCAGCCGGCCGGCCAGGTGTCCATCCCGACCGTCGATCTGAGCTACAACAGGCTTTCCGGAGAGATATCTCCAATGTTCTCGACGGTCGAGAATCTGTACCTGAACAACAACCGGTTTATTGGGCGGGTCCCGGCTAGCATAGTGGACCGGCTGCTGGCCGCCAATATTCAGACGCTTTATCTGCAGCATAATTACTTGAGCGGGATTGGGATTAATCCGACGGTGGAGATTCCTCTGAGCTCGTCGTTGTGTCTGCAGTATAATTGCATGGTCCTGCCCGTACAGACGCCCTGCCCGCTCAAGGCCGGCCCGGATAAATCCAGGCCTTCGTCACAATGCATAGAGTGGAAAGGGTAAGATGGGGATTTTCGTTACCGATGCGCGAGGGCATATTGGTAAACTCAGGTGAAGGGGTTCGTAATTTTCATAATCTTGTGGTGGTTATTAGGAATCCGGAATTTTATTTATTCATTTTATTTACTCATTCTTTTATTCAATTTATTTTCCGTGTTGAAAATGAGGTAATTAATTGTTAGTGTCGGATATGGATAGTAATATTTAAAATAATAATAATTAAAATAAATAATTGATGTTATTTTTTATTTAGAAAAATGTTTTGTTTACAAATTATTGTGTATCTCCGTATTGTATTCCAGCTATGGATGACAAACCAAGGTACGGTATATTTTCGTGTTTCAGGCCTTTTTGTATTATCTATTTTACTTTATTTTCAATTCTAATAATTTTATTTTATTCCATTTTTTTTATATCGTGACATTTTGTGATGTGCTATTTATCTTTATAATTGTATTTTACAAATTGTGTTGGTTTGTCCATAAAAACACATAATATTATATTATTATTATTATCAATGACCGTTTGTTTGAGTCTGCTAGATTAGATTATGTCAAGTATCAGAAGACGTTGGTAACTGTCGGAGCCATTTGGGATGCCTCTAACGACTAACATCATTTACCGACATCAACGAAAAAATTTAGAATGTATGTTACCGACTAAGGGGTCGTCAGGTCATAATGTGATTATCAATAATAGGCTTGTTCTTTTTGTCTTTTGTGATCAGATCTGTTTTAGTTGGAAATGTGGAATACACCTGGTTTGGCTTAGAACTTAAAAGTAATAGACCTTTCTATGAATAAGATTATAATAGATATGTTAACTTAAAAGGCAATCATAATTCCAAGAGGGACATGTTCTCATAATTAAAAACCATTTTAAATGCATAATATATATTTATAGATTTGGTTCAAATGAGAACCAAGTACTAGCGAAATTGTACGTAATGTTAAATTGATTGTGTGTTACTACTATTTTTAATCAGAATGTATTTTATTAAAAACAACAACAATTTTTGAAAACGATATCACATATAATACTAAAAATAATATCACACACAATTAAAAATAGCATCAAATACAGTTCTCACATCATAACTGGTTTTTATTTGAATCAATCCCTATATAACATTTACATTTTACATTTTGCATTTTGCAGACAAAAAATTTAATGCAAAATATGTTTTTTCACTCATTTTCTTCATCTAATTTTGAAGAGTAACATTTACATTTTGCATTAATCAATTAAGGGAAAACATCATCAGAATTCCACAAAAAAAA